GACTAATTTATTGGAACTAACCTGGAAAAATAAATACGAAAGTCAATTAAAATATAAAACAGGAGATAAAGTAGTTCTTCTTTAATTTAATTGGTGCATTTTAAGTGCATTAATTTAGTGGTTCGTATAATTCTGCTTTTATTTCTAATTATGTCAGTTTTGGTCCTCCGTACTGCAGAAGCTTGATAATCATCTGTTCATTCATATCAGGTGTGTTGGAGCAGAGAAACAAGTAAAACATGCAGGGCTGCAGACCTCCAGGACCAGGATTGCCCATGCCTGATCTAGACCACGTATGAGGGTAAGCTAACGATAATCGGCTATACAAAAGAAGCTGAGCATAAAAGTATATCATGTCGATCAAATAAGGTTTAGTAATAAATATGTTTCTGTGTGTTTCAGATGACTTCTGCAAAATAAGCACCACAAATCTACAGTCTGGACCTGTGGGATTATTGTTTGGATTATTGTTTCTGGTTTTTACAAACGTGCAGTGGTTGCAGAACTTATAAACATTGGATAATAAAGAGATTTTAAAAAATGACTTGTCTTTTATTATAGATAATGCAATATGACAAAGTCTGGGTTAAATTATGCAAAATAAATTCCACAGAGCTGTAATCACAGAAATGTAGCTTCAATCAGCTGTAAATCTGAAAACATTCAGTTTGGTCTTAAATCACAAAGATGTTTTTTGCTAAATTCCCAACAATTAGTATATTTTTGGTCCCTATGAACTTTTACAAGTTGTAATATAAATTTAGTGGCATGACTTTGGTAAGTAATTGTGAACTATTAAGCAATTGTTTATCGGACGTGACCAGCGACTCCACCCTCTAACCCATCAGTGACCAACAGTGTTCTGACGCCGCATTTTCAGGCCAACACGGTACGGTTAAACACAACAAAGTAGGTACTAAAAAGGGGTCCAATTCCACAAATCCTRGATAATGGAAACTCATTGCAGAATCGAGCCAAACCGTGCTGTACAGGCACTAGTGGAAAAGGGGCRTATCTGTCTAGCTAGCAGAGTGARGGCAGAATWTAACTAGTAATGATAAAATGTTGACCATTTGTGCAAACCTCTCTTTGTACCTGACATGTTTTTTTCCCCATGATATAAATACAGTATATGACCTTTACTGAGAAAATCTGAAAGGTTTTCAGCTGTTCTCTAAGCATAACAAATAGATAGATGGAATACTTTACTCTGGGTTTCTGTTTGATACTTATTGATTAATTAGCAATAACACATTGTTTTTGTGTGTGTGTGTGTGTGTGTGTCCTTGATTTTGAATGGAGAGGACCATCCTCACCTGGAACTTGGTAACACACTGCGAGCTGCAGAAGTTGAGAATGTTTCCCTCTGGCAGCGTGGCCTGGTACTGTGGTAATGAACTCCTCTTACAGAAGTGACACGTGGGTTCTTTGTCTGCGCACACACACAATTAAACAATCAACATGTATTTTCTGAAGACTGAGTCTCTTTTTTGAAAAAAAAAATTTCTTCTTTTCTTTCATTTGGATTTTCAAAACGCTTCTGATTCTATGATGAAAAAACTGATCATGATGGTGATAAATTTGATTTAAAAAAATCAAACTTTGAACACAGAGTCATGAAAATTAAATCTGAACATGAAAAGTATTTAACTCAGCCTTCACTAAACAGGATTGAACTGAAGCTTAGGTTCACATCATCTGCTCCACATTTCATGATGGACATGTGGAGCTGCAAATCTTACAAATTCTAAAGAATCTGGAACCTGCTTAAATTAAGGTTGAGAAATGCGCAGCTTAATGCCAGCTGCTGGTGTAATCTGATTACTCACGAAGGAACTGCGATGACGTCAGCTTGCCCTTGTTCATACAGTTGGCGGAGCAGTAGGAGCTCATRATGCCGCTCATTCCAAGGCTGTGAAGAACCTCGCCGGTCTTGATCAGGGTTTTGCAATTCGCACAACTCGCAAGTTTACTGTTGGCCTGAAAKGGAAAACGTCACATTAAAATAACTTCATACACAAAATGTAAAAAAGTAATATTACCAAAATACTAACACGACTTGTTTAAATAAAATCAAAACTGTTTGCATAAAAAAAGCATTGTAGGAAATACAAGTCGAATAACAATAACCTTTGGAATTACATCATTCAACTGTAAGGTCTTTGTAAAACTACCTGGTATGGCAAAAAAAAAAAATCCACCAATTCTACAAACTAATGAGATCAAAGCATGAAAAACACATTTCACTTGGACATGTTTTTACCCTTATTCTCATTATTTACTCCTTTATACTCACRAACAAGCTGGTTTAACTCCTGATATTCCTTATCAAACTAAGGTTCAGTTTACACAATGTTGTTGAGTAAAACCGTAGCTTTTCTGCAGCTTTTCAGCCACTCGTGCACAAAAAAAACAATGGCCTTTTTCTCAGAAACTGCAGTTTTTAAGCCATGGTTYAGAGCTGAGTTTTCTGGCACTATCAGGGGTCACTGTAGCTCAGGGGTGGGCAATCATGGTCCTTGTGGGCTGCAGCCCTACATGTTTTACATTTTTCCCTGGTCCAACACACCTGATTCAGTCACTGAACTACYTCTTCCAAGTTCTGCAGTATGGAGGACCGAAACTGACAATTAGAAATAAAAGCAGAAATAGAAAAATGAACCTTTAAATAAACAAATACAGTTAAAATGCACCAAATAAATTCAAAAAGAGAACTTTACCTCATGTTTTAAAATTTAATTGACCTTCATATTTATTTTTCCAGCTTGGTTACAATAAATTAATGTAAATAAATAATGTTAACACATAATTTAGATGTTAATGTTTTATATATATTTTTTACATCGTTTTTCCTTTTACTTATACATGCATTTGTGTCTCTTGAATGCTTAAAGGAGACCAATTATGGGTCCTAGAAATGTTTATGGTATGTCTGTGGGCTATCCAGACCATGTTCATTCAATTTAATACACAAAATAATTCTCAGATAATAAAATTTCCCATTTTCTAGTTCTGCCTAGAAAGAAGAGCTGTTTATGTTAATGAGCTCTGTTGGTAACGCCCTCCAAAAATCTGTTGACATTAACTCCGCCCTCCAAAGC